AAAAAAAAAAAAAAAAAAGAAATCAAAGCATATGAATGAAGAGTTCTTCATTGACTGAACTAATTTTCTGTCTGCCTAAAATTACTTCAATCTGGGAGAAGTTAGGACCACAAGTTGTTTCTTCCTTGGGAGCACAATTCCCCTATTAGTCCCTTTTGTACTCCACCTCTTCTCTTCCTGACTTGAATAGAGAAGGTGTGATCCTTCTATACAAACACATTTCCCTTGTAGGGGAATATGATGCCAGCAGATGATGTAAGTATGAATAAAAATTCCCTGCCCTTTCCTGTGCCCTTTTAAGGTTGACCTAGTGCTTGAAGAGGCTAACACAGAAGGGTAAAGTAAGTCTTCAAAAAACCCAGAGAAGAGACTGAAAATCTCCTCTTTGGATCCTGTCTGGAGTCACACTTGAATTAAATAAATAATCAATAATAATAAATAAATAAATTCCCACACCAACCAAGAGGTACTTCCTGTGCTATGCAAATTTTAAAGTTTTCTACTGATTTTTCAGCTCTTACTTCTGTTGCTTTATATAACTCCCTACCCCATCCCCAGAACTAAAATCAAAAAATAAACAACAACAACAAAAAAACTAAGGAGGCTGGGCACAGTGGCTCACGACTATAATTCTAGCACTCTGGGAGGCCAAAGTGGGCAGACTGCTTGTGCCCAGTTCAAGGACAGTTGGGCAACACAGTGAGACTCCCATCTCCGCAAAAAATAAAAAAAAATTACCAGGTGTGGTGGCAAATGCCTATAGTCTCAGCCACTCCTGAGGCTGACATGGGAGGTTCACTTAAGCCTAGGAAGTTAAGGCTGTAGTGAGCCAAGGTCATGCCACTGCACTCCAGCCTAAGCTACAGAGTGAGAATTTGTCTCAAAAATAAAGAAGGCCGGGCGTGGTGGCTCACACCTGTAATCACAATTTGGGAGGCTGAGACATGGGTGGATCACTTGAGGTCAGGAGTTTGAGGCTGGCCTGGCCAACACGGTGAAACCCATCTTTACTAAAAATACAAAAATGAGCCAGGTGTGGTGGCACACACCTGTAGTCCCAGCCACTCGGTAGGGTGCAGCACGAGAATTGCCTGAACCTGGGAGATGCAGGTTGCAGTGAGCAGAGATCATGCCACTGCACCCCAACCCAGGTGAGAGAGTAAGACTCTGTCTCAAAAAAATACAAATACAAATAGAAAAATTAGCCAGGTGTGGTAGCATGTGTTTGTAGTTCCAGCTACTCCAGAGGCTGAGGCAGAGGTTGCAGTGAGCCGAGATCACGCCACTGTACTCCAGCTTGGGTGACAAAGCAAGATACTCTCAAAATAAAATAAAATAAAAACCCCCACTCTATCTTCATATGATTTCATTCAGGCACCTTTTGAAGGGTGGGAGAAAAGAAGGAGAAAGGAAATAGATTATATTAAAAATCTAGACAACTGGCAACACTTGCTGTTGGCTGAAGTTTTCCTACGTAAACATTCTGGTAACTTTATGTCTACAGCAGAACTTGGTAAGAGGTGTTGGTGTGATTTGCACAGAGGTTTGTTTTGTTTTGTTTTAAATTACAATGGTACTTTAATAATCACAAGATTTAACACATAAAAAAAAAGATAACCACTATTAAAAAAGAAAAATGGAATGCTCATTAGTTACAATAGACATAATGTTCAGCTGAGAATCACTTCAACAGAGTAAAGCTCTAAATACTTGGAATATGCTGTGCAACTTTCTTACTGTGTGGGTTACAGAGGCGGCCCTGGTTCTGTGTGGTCAGGGTAATAGAAGACCAGTTT